GCCCACAAGCTTAGGCAATATTTTCATTTATTTTACATCTGCCCTGTAATTTAACCTCTTATTATAGTAACTTATTAGCAAAAACATACAACACCTAATGAGACTTCCTTCGAGGTACAGGCTGCGATCGGCGACTACTGCCCTTAAAATAACCCAATCCAGGTTAAATCACAATAGCTTTCAGTTAAAATTTAAGAACCTTTAAATCTGGCATCAGTTGAAACATAAACAAAAAATCCCAACCAAACTAAAGTCAACCAAAGTAATCCTGAGGTTCGTTTCCTTCCCTCGCCCTTGGGGCGCACCTCTTTGTGCACAAGGGTCTGAAGGTCTCCTAACCTCAGACCCAACTACCGGCCCCGCACGACACCCTGTCGCCAGCCTCAGAGGAACGTCGCCGATGCGGGCCGTCGCGATGCCCGAGCAGCCTGGACGCCAGGCGACGCCCCGCCGGGCCCGAAACGAAGACCAGGGGCGCGCTGCCACCAGAGACCGGGCCGCAGGCTGGCGGGGACCAGCGGAGACCGAGGCCGGGGTCCCAGCTTTGGCCTCGGCTCTACCTCACGGCCCGCGGGCCGGCGAAGAGGACAGGAGGGAATACGCGGACGCACCTGGCGGGGACCCTCGGCGACCGGTTCCTGCGTTAGCACGGCGCCCGTCAGACTCTCCCAGCGTTCGCCACCGCCCCTCCTCCCCGCCCAGGCCACCTCCACGTTCCGCTCCAACGTGGCAGCCGCAGCCCCGCCCAGCCAGCCGGCCGGCCGACGCTTCCGGGAGCGACGCCTCGCCCCGCCCACCCCGGCGCGCGACCCGCCAGGGCACTTCCGGGAGCCGTGGCAGGCCCGGGGCGGAGCGCGCGGCGCGGCCGGCTGGGGACTCGCTCCTTCGCTTCGCGCGCGCCTGTGAGGCCAGGGACCCGTTCTGAAGGGGGGCGCGCGCAGGGCGCGGACGCGGCGGCCAGGCCTATGGGAAAGGTGGAAGTCTTCCCGCGTGTAGCTGTCGGGCGGAGGGCCGGCCGCGGCCCGCAGGAACGCCACGTAGCGCTAGCCCTGAGACGTCAGCAGCCCCGCGCTGCTGCCAACACCACACGAGCCACGTGAAGATCCAGCTGCAGGGGCCTGAGCGCAGGAACTCTAATTTGTGACTGGGTTCAAAATTGCTCACTTGGTTCTTCAGTATTGCGTTTTGAGAACTGCTTTAAAGCCAAACGATCTGGTCATGCTCAAACGGTGTTGTGGACATAGTCGTTATTCCAAAGAGGCATAGCGGATAAGGTTTTCCAGTCAGTACCCTATGTATGTGTCTTGTACTTGTTCAATTTAAAAAGCAAGTTCATTTCTGGACTGAAATAGACCAGCTCAAGTGGATTACTTAGGCTACAGTAGCTGATTTCTAGTGTTCTAAAAAGCCTTTCATTTTTATTTATAGCTGTAAGGACTAGTTGACCTAAAGAAGTGCCAATAAAAGTCCGTAACTTAGGGTCTGCTGGTGGGGCAGCGGTTGTGCGCTCCGCTTCTGCGGGCCAGGGTCTCGCTGGTTTGGATCCTGGGCGCGGACACGGCACCGCTCATCAGGCCAGGCTGAGGCGGCATCCCACATGCCACAACTAGAGGGACCCACAACTAAAATATACACAGCTGGGTACCGTGGGGCTTTGGGGAGAAAAAGGAAAAATAAAATCTTAAAAATCCCTAAACTTATAAGTGGGATCATCACTTTAGTCAACAGAAAACACTGAACTCCCTACTGCCCTGTTCCCCAAAGACCCCCAACTATGTGGAAGTGGGCACTGCTATGGAAAACGCTTCCTTAGAACAAGTCGAGCAGTGGTTACATCCCTTGGTATCATTTAATACAATCATACAATACAACTACACGTTCCTACTGCATAAGTCAAACTACAAACCTCCCTGTCCCTCACCTGCTTTTGTAGGCTCTGTGAACTAAGAATGGCAAAAGAAAAATATTTCATGACAGGAGAAAATTACATGAAATTCAAATCTCAGTGTCCATAGTTTTATTGAAACACAGCTATGGCTCAATGGTTTATGCATCGTCTATGGCTATTTTAGTGCCACAAGGACAAAGCTGACTGGTTGCTACGGAGACCATATGGACCGCAAAGCCTAAAATGTTTACTATATGCCCGTTTACAGGGAAACTTTACTAACTCCTATCGCTAGACAGGATTTTGCCCACAAACTGATTAATATTCAAAGTCTAAATACAAGACATTCAATATTATAAATTTTTATTTCCAAGCCTTGATATAGTAGCACACAAAGGCATCATGAAAAATGTCAAGTATAATTTATGACTGGTTGTCCTAAGGCTAAAAATAAACGATAACTGTTTCTAGGTATTTATATGTGGTAAAATGTAAAGACTCCCTAGCTTGTTTTAAATGCAGGCAGTTCTCACTTTGACTATGTAAGCTAAAACTGTGCAAAGCAATTTTAACCTATGGGATTAAAAATCCAAATTGTGACCTTAAAATTTGTCCAAACATTAAAAACCGTCTTGATGTTAGTTATAAATGTAAAAAAAAAAAATAGTAAAACGAATATTTAAAGCATTAGAAACACTGAAAATTAAAGTTTTATTTCTTTACAAAAAACTATCGTGAAGCTTTTCCACTGGCATCACTTCCTATGAGACGAGTTCGTCCTTTATGACACAACAGCTTTCCTCATTTATATCTGTATGTTCGCCTTCACTAAGTTCCTCTCGCTGCATATCTACAAGTGCTCCTTGAGTGGCAGGCAGTGTCAACATTCCCATGGTCATTTCTATCTTCTGTAACTCCATTTACATTCCACCTAAGAATTACATTCCTGCCTGTAATTCTTGGACCTGGGTGCAAATTTCACAGTACCATCCTTATCTGAGCTTGCAGCTTCACCAGGTAACATTAATCAGTTCAGATCAACTTCTGAAACGATGAAACCAGCCTTGCCTGGCAATAAAAATGTTCTTTTTCAGTCTCTTTGTAATTACCATTTTCCTTCAATGCAGCAACTAACTTCAACGCTTTGGCCTGAATGCTAGCCAAACCTAGTGGGAATTGTTTTTGATTACAGTCCACGATCCAAAGGAGAAGTAAACGCTCCATTTCAACCATAAGCAGCATCTCGTCCTATCTTTGCTTTGCTGTCACCATTTTCAAATTTGAGCATGTCCAATTTCACTTTCCGTGTTACCACTTTTCATTTCTTGGCTGCCTCTCATCTTTGTTGACCAATCCTCTCTTTTGATTATCCATTTTTGTAAAACGTCACGAGTTTATCGCTGGGAGACAAAGAGGCAACACAACCACATGCTTTACTGTCGGTATGTGAACTGACAGATGTTCAATGACCAATCAGCAAGACTTTGGAAGAAATGATGCAGCTGGTTACGGATCTTGATGCACGTCTTTTATTTGCACAATGACTTGTGGAATAAAGAGCTAGCAGCAAAGTTTATGCAACAATTCACAGTTAATACTGTGGTAACTGAAATTTCAACTGTGTGGTTGGGGGACTGGTGTTATTTAACTAAAGTGTGAAAAGTGATAATCATGCATGTTGGAATGGTGCAAAGAACCACCTGTATCTGAAAGGAAAAACTTGTATTAGTTCAAAAAATAGTCAACTTTTAATCCAATTTAGTTAATTATTAGCCAAGCCTAATCCTAGACCAAATAAGAACTGAAGCTTTTCTCAAAGGAATGCTAGTTCCAAGACTCTGAATTACTCATTGGAGTTAGAAGAAAGTTTGGAGGTAATGCAATACAGAATTATTCAAATTAGGATTTGCAGACAGTCCAGAGACATCCTTTTAAAAATTTAGGCCCCCTCCCCTCATTTCAATCATCTTGAGGTCTGCAAAAGAGTAAAAGTCCAGACAACTCTACTGTTGTGCCGATTGTAAAACTACAATCATCACAAGGCACAAGACCACGTGTTTCTAACTTATTCCACAGCAGCCAGTACCATCTTTACTGCTGCAAAACAGGAGCATCCACCCGAGCGATTTTTTAGTTTTGGTTTTGAATGCATTTATTTTGTAAATCTTTTCATTAAGGGCCATAAAAAAGTTTATATCAACTTTTATGTTTGTAGAAATTTAAGAAATAGGAAATTAAATCAACCTTGAAAATTCACAAGAATTTTTCCCCTTTATATTCCTCAAGTTTGAGAAACACCTCAAGATAACATGCCTAGTTAATGACAGATTAATCTCTATTAGATTTGAGATTCCCAGCTTCCAACCACCTGCCTGTCTACTGTTCTTGAACAAAGCTTAAGTTATAGGATGGTCACCCACTGGCATTTCAAAGAGTCATTTACAGAATATACAATAGGTCAGCAAATTTAAACCCCACAACATATGCTCTCTAAGAATTTCAGGGGCTGAAAGGATTACGTCATTATTTTTATGAAAAGATGACTACCTGACAGACCTGGAGCAGTTACTGTCTGCTGCTCAGCTTTCCACTACAGATCCAAGAAGAAAGTATCCTTGTACTTTCTGTCTGTCTGATTGTGGCAGCCAAGATTGAATGGGGGAATACAGGGAAAAAACATGGGGAGAATTTTTGCAACTCAGAAATAACTGTAAAGAGTGAAGAGCCTGTTTTACTACAAGGAAGAATCTAAAATTTGAGTTTATAAGGGAAGTGTTGGAAAATTATTCCCTTACACCCTTGTCTTCTGATTGATTACAATTTTAAAAGATGAAAGGTTAAAACTAATGAAAGGAAAGCCAGTGATTCTTATAAAAAAAAAAGAAAAGAAAAGATGACTACCAAGGTTAAAAGTCCTGCCCCCACCCACCCAAATGCCTATCCTGAATTAATCTACTGATTCGGAAAATTATATTATTTTTGCAATCGTATGTACGCTATCTCTGAAAGCTGAAAGAATAGGAAAGAATTGTGATTACAATATCCACATCATTCTCAAATCTAACGTTTTCTGTGTTCTTTTGTCAAAACTAGTAAATTTATAAACTCTTACCTTATTATATAAATCTGTTAATTCTTGACCAGATAAATCCAACAAATGATGTCCTCTAAGAAAAACACCCTTCTGTTTTATTCCTGAAAGGAAAAACATTTATAGGCAAATCAATGTACAAAAGCTACATCATATCTGTAAGCCTCATGCTTTTCTTTTTCCATTATGTCCTCATCCACATACATTAATCACAACAAATCATGATGTGAACAGCAGTGGAAAAAGTTTAATCATTGGACATTTATACTTTCTTCTTATTTTCAACTTATGCTCTAGTTATAAGGTTTTCATTGCTTAGTCCTTTTTTAAAAATACATAATAAATGCACATTTCTACACATTCCAATTCTCTCATATAGAACAGATACGACCTCCAATCTTACTACAATTAGGAAAAAACTCATAACAAAGATAATTTCAAGTATATCAGTTATCAACTTTGCACAGATTACCTTATGCTAGCTTGGAGGTGTCTTCTTCTCAACATCAAGCCTGAAATGGAAAGGACAACCAAACGTTAATACATTACCAAACTGGCTATGCCAACAGCCATCAAGGAACTGAGGCTTGCCAAGTGAGAGAGTCTGGAAGCTGATGTCTCTCTCTTTCCCCTCACCATAAGATAAGTGTTTGTTGTTTTAAACCACTAAGTTTTGGCTAATTTGTTACATAGCAATAAATAACTAATACAGGGGGTCACAATCCATGTCCAAAAAGTAAAATGTACAACTTATGAAGGAGCTGAAAAGGTCTGAAATTCTTGGGAAAGGATCAAATTCAGAACCGTATTTGGTCACAAATATTTGAAAACTCTAAGGCTTTCTGAAGTAAAAAAAACCCCATAGAACTAAAAGGCTGAAAAATTCAGCATGAAAATGTCAGTTACTAGAAAATATATTTCATTACATCACAGCAACAAATAATGGTTCTAGTAGAATTAGCTAAGAATATGACAAAAGGGTATGTATTCAACAAGGAAGATAACCAGTCATAAAAAGCAAAAAGTATATTTGCTTTCATAGGGTTGTTGTGAGAAACAAACATTGTTTAAAAAAAAACTGTGCGTGTGTGTTATGTATATATATAAACTGCTTAGCACAATCCCTGCCTGGCATGTAACCGTTCAATAAGCATTAGCTGTTATTATTTTTTCCGAAGTGACCAATTAATGAGTTTCTATGCCATAAAACAGGCAATTAGATTTCACCAAAACCTTTAGAAACCTGTTTTTTAGTTGGACAATACTCCATTTCCAACTCACTGCTGTTGTTCCAGGAACACTTAATACATTTAAAAAGAAAGATATACTACCTCTCTTGTATATTTCAAGTAATTATCTTCTAAGACCCAGGAATCTTTTTCTGACATTTCCAAGAATGTAATTCCTGAAAAGACATTTTCTTTTAAATTACTTTCTGTAATGGTCCATGCCTTTTGCAAATAACATCTTTAAGATAGCTCACATATCCTCATTTACAGACTTAATAATCACAACAGTTCATTATGTGAACAGCAGTGAAAAGGTTTAATCATTGGATATGAAGTTATTGGAGGAAGCAGACATAATCAAATTGAGAACCTTAATGTCACAAGTAAAACAGTAAAAATAAAAAAGCATGTAAAAGTTACAAACAAACGTAAAGATACATAAACACAACTTAAAAAAGAAAAGAAAGATTCCATTTATAAGGGATTGCATACTTCCCTATCCAGAAGTACACTAAGAATGCCTAGGACAGTGAGCCTTGTGGCTTCTGTAAAGAGTTGGTTATTTTCATTTAACCAGTCTACAACATTTCAGTAAATCTGTTCCGCAGAGCAGCAATTTTCAGCAACTCATTTATAATTAATAATTAGAAGAATGCTGTCAAAATAATGTGAGAGCCACACTGTTTCATCTTTCCTAGGACAGCCACAATATCTGGAAGCCAATAAAGCAGAAAAGAAAAAAGCCCTCTTTTTCTCTGTACTCTGATGCTGGACTGGCAGGAATACTTTCATCTCTATCTGAAGAAAATGAATGGGGCCGGCCTAGTGGTGGGAGCTTAGGCAGCCCAGGTTCGTGAGTTTGGATCCTGGGCATGGACCTATACACTGCTCATCAAGCCATGCTGTGGCAGCACCCTACATACAAAATAGAGGAAGATTGGCACACATGTTAGCTCAGAGCAAATCTTCCTCAAGCAAAAAGAGGAAAATTGGCAACAGATGTTAGTTAGCTCAGGGCCAATCTTTGAAAAGAAAATGAAAAATGAGTGCTGCACCTGGGGTTCCCTCCCCAACAGCACCCACCCCTCTGCAGGCTCTCAGCAGGTTACACAACCTCTGAACCCATTTTAACAGCAGCCTGTTAGCCCAGAGCTTCACTTCCATCTGTGATGTCCAGCACCCCTCAGCCTTGCTCTTTTAAGACACCCTATAGCAATCTCCATTTCAAGTTACCTTTAATGGGGTGGGAGGGCACAAGAATACTTCCCAGGCACTAACTGCTGATTATTTTAGAGATTATAAAATTGCATGTTTTGAGTAGTCAACCCTAACCCTATTTTTCCCATAAGCCCCGCCCTGCTTCTTTCCAATGCACAATTTTGCTAAACATTAAGTTTTTTCAGGAACACATATGGCATTATAGCAGAAACACACGGATCTATTTGTGTGCTAGGGACTCAAAACACTAATTCACTTTAGACATTGTCCCTGCACTCAAGGAGCATCCTCTGGCAGGCTCCTTACAAACTTTAAATCCTTAAAAATAGGGCAACCACCACAATGAGATACCACTTCTTACCCATGAGAATGTGGAGAAATTGGAACCCTCAGCCATTGCTAGTGGGAATGTAAAATGGAGTGACCACCTTGGAAAAGCGTCTGGTATTTCCTCAAGAGGTTAAACATAAAAATATACGACCCAGCAAGTCTACATATACTCAACAGAAGTGAAACCATACGTCCACACACAAATTTGTCAACTTATGTTCACAGCAGCATTATTCATAACAGCCCCCCAAAATGCAAACAACCCAAATGTCCACCAACTAATGAATGGATAAATAAAATGTGGTATATCCATACAATGGAATATATCTTGGCAACAAAAAGAAATAAAGTACTGATACATGTTACAACATGGACGAACCTTAAAAACATCGTAAGCGAAAGAAGCCAGTCACAAAAGGCCATATATTATTTTCTGATTCCATTTATATGAAGTATCCAGAGTAGACAAATCCACACAGAAAAAAGATTAGTGGTTTCCAGGGGCCGGGGGTAAGATATAAGGTCTAAGTATTAATGAGAATGGGTTTTTTGGGGGGAGGGCGGTGGGTGATGAAAATGTTCTAAAATTGATCGTGGTGATAATTGCACAACTCATGAATGTACTAAAAACCACTGACTTGTACATTTTACATGGTTTAATTGTATGCTATATCAGTTACATCTCAATAAAACTGTTACCAAAAAAATAAGGCAATCAATGTTTTCCTTAAAGAAAACTGAAAATTGTAATTTATTTCTATTTAGCCTCATGCAGGTCTTAATTGGTTGAGTACTAGAAAAGTTTCTAAAAGTCTAACCAACTGACGGTGATTTAAATTCAGGTCCCACCCTTTGCACATCTTACAACCAAGCAAGCACATACCCCAAGGAGCGATTTTCCTCAAATTCATGGACTATCCTTAAGCCATGTGACTTTTAAGAAAACGACATAAGCAAAGCTCTGTTAATTTCATTCAAATAAGATATAAACATATTACAATGGAAAGTAGGTGTGAATAAGTAATACCTTGAGATGAGTCTTTTTGGCTGGAATCCGGACAAAGTAAACAAAAAGGGGTAAAAGAGGCAATCTTGTTTGGAAATGTCGGAATCATTCTTGCGAGCTAGAGAAGGAAATGAAGTTACAAACATTTCTCTGTTTTCTACAATGGGCCTCCAACGTTAAGCAGGACGGAAAGAAACTAATTATTATGCTAAGGATCTCTTCAAAAGATACAAAATAGAAACGGTGCGCTACGTTGGCCCCATTTTCTTTCTTCTTTGAAAACTGAAATTTCATATCGCAAACACAAACAGCTTCCAATACCATCTCATTCCTGAAAGCTATCCATGATGCCCCACATCGCAACCAAAACAATTCCACTGCCCCTCCTAGCACTCCCAATGACGAGTCCCCACTAGACTGCGAGCTGCCCCAACAGACCCAAGGGCCTTACCTTATTTTAATTTCCCCATTGTGGCAAAAGGTCTTGCAGAAAACGGTTCGTTGAATTAAAAATCGACGTATCCTCATATTAGACTCATTCAAGCTCCTCTGCGGTCACACACGTTAACCGCCAACCATAACAGCTCCTACATTATCTCCACATCAGGGAACTAGCAAATAAAACGCAAGGAAATGACATGCCTCTCAGCAAATAATTTATTTTTGGCCCAATTTTGTCTCCTATTTTTCTAAGGCACCGCGTTTATCTCTCTCCCTCCTATCCCTTCCTCGCGTCACACCCTCCAGTCACTTTCAGAGCTCACACCAGGAGACCTCTCGGCAAACCCCTGGATTCGCCTCAACTTTGATCCTGCCTCTCCGTTTCGCATTCTCAGGCTCGGCCTCGCACGAAGCGCGATGGCACCGGATTTAACCAGGTCGGGCGAAAACAGAAGGAATGGGAACCCAAGACAGCAAAATCTACCAACCACCCTCGAAGAGAGAGGGAGGGGCGGTCAAGTGCTCGTCTTAAGGACCCCGGCCTTTACGATTGGCTGCTGCGACACGACGTGGCCTGTGATTGGTCACGGCGTCAGGCGCAGCGCCCACGGAGAGGAAGGGTGGGCGCTCCGCGCTTTAAGAGCCCGCCTTTCCCGACAAATAAAGGTCGCCGCCGACGACTCAACGGGCGGAGCTAAATTTATCGTGATTCATGCTGTCGCGGGGACACCGAAAGTGGAGCCCCACGTAGCAAGAAGATGACCCGAAGTTGCTCGGCAGTGGGCTGCAGCACCCGGGACACCGTGCTGAGCCGGGAGCGCGGCCTCTCCTTCCACCAGTGCGTGAGAGCAGCCTCCGAGCTCTCTTAACTCCCAGCACGGCCAGGCGGGCAGTAGGCCAGGGCCGGGCGGGGTCGGGCGACGTGCCGTCGACGTGACGTGGCGTGACGTGCGTAGCGTGGGCGGGGGAAGGGGACCGGGGAAGTTTGAGAGTCAATGCTGTTCCTGATCAGTGTTTAGCTCCAAGTTGCTGGTTGTTTCTCCTGGCCTCCCGCTTGCCTGATGGCTTTTAGCGAGTTACTCGGAAGGAGTCCTGCTTCCTTTGGGCCTTTTTATTATTTAGCGTGAGGAGACGGCAAGGGAGGGCAGTTCGGGAGAACTGCGGACGGCGTGCATTTCCATTAGGGTCTGTGGCTTGTGAGCATGGGTACAGATCAGTTTTCACGAGTACTGCCTGTCATTGCAAGTTGTTCAGTGGTGTTAGCCGTGCCCTGCAAGGCCAGTCCGATTCTGGCTGGATCTGGTCATGGCAAGGAAGTTTCATTTGGCTCAAGAGTGAGGCAGATTTTCAAACTAATCTAATTTGAACTCACGTCTATGATCTAGACTGGTAAATAGGTCATTCAAATTAATGTCCAAGGCACAATGGGAAGTAGAAAAGTGGGTAAAACAGACCCTCACAGACTAAAAGAAATGTACGTCAGAAAGACATAGCCCATTAAGGTAATATGAGACGTAGATTTAACCCACTGACAAAGCCCTTTTATGAGATCAAAAACAGCCTTGTGGGACAGGTGGTATTTGAATTGGGCCTTGAACCTCACCTAGATTGTGGAAAGCAGGTGGGAGGAGGATAGCACTTAAATAGGAATAGCATGGGAAAACGTAAAGGGATGGAAAGTGCGGGTATAATGTAGAGGAGTGGGAAAAGTAGCTTAGAGACAAATTATTTTAAAAAATGTCAGGTTAAGGAATTTGATCTATGTCTGGTAGGCGTTTTGTTTTTTAAGTAGGGCTGGTTCCTCCACCTAAGCTGTTATTGTATCCTTTCTTTCTCCTCGGGTATTTTTTCCTGGCAATTAGTTCCTGTTCTTGTTGTTTTGAATTGCTGTCTCTACTGATTACTTCCCTAAATTCAGTGAGCATGCTCATATTACTTCCATTTTTAAACACACGCAAAAACTCGAGCCTCTGTGCGCCGCTACACTACTACTCTCCTTCCCTCCGTAACCAGGCTCCTCAAACCGGGAGCATACACCTACTTCCCTAAATCCGCGTTGACTTCTCAATCTGCTGTAGCCAGATACCTGTCACCACTGCTCAAAAAAAAAGCATGAGCAAGGGTCACCAGTAATCTTGCCAAATCTAAATGAGCACTTCGAAGTCCTCTTGACCTGTTTTTAACTTTTAATCATATTAACCACTCCTCGAAACTCTCACCTCCCTTGGCTTTATGGACACATTCTCTCACTAGTTCTCTCCCTTTTCTCTAATTTCTTCCTCAGTTTTTTGCTGCCCTGCTTTTCCTGTGTCTTCTTCCTAGTTTTCTTAAATAGGAAAGAACTTATTTATTGCTTTTGTTTTATATATTGAGGACCAAAGTAAGACTTGCTTAATTTAAAAGAAAAAAAAAGTGATGCAGTTATTACAGTAGTCTCCTATGATTCTTCCAGCCTGATTTCTTCCTCCTTCATTCCATTTTCCAGATTCTGGGAAATTGTTTTTCTAAAAATGCAAATGTTGTCATGCTGGTTCCCTGCAGGCAGGATTTTGATCTCTTGGGCTCTTAATGCCAAGCTCCGCTGTGAAGCCTTTCGTCTTCCACCTGTCTTCCACCTGAATTCCGTTCCCTCTGTATTTCTATTATTGTACATGTGTGCTGAATTAAACAAACACATATCTATGTATGAATGGGAAGGAATCATTTTTGTCTTCCTGGCATGTAGGGAGTTGTAAGAAAAGCAGGAGAGAATAGAGACAGGAAAAGGAGTTAGAATACCATGGTGTTAGTCCTAGCAACAAGGTAGTATCCATCTGAAGTAACGGCTCAGCAAAAAGGTAATGTGGGAAGGAGAGAATTCGTCAGTTTGCCATTGTATAAAGCTGCCATCTTCAAACTTTTTAATCATGGAGCTCTGTCCGTAAAAAAGTTGAGTACGTGCCCCTGAAATATGCATAGTGATGTATAGATTACGTATATGAAGTGATGCACTAGTACTTATTATCAAATACAAAAATTAAAGGATGGAGCAAAAAAATTATAAGAATAAATTCTAGTATTTTCGTCAGATCTCAATAAATGAGTACAGACTCCTGTGCTGGCCGCTAACCTAAAGAATGGATCCAAAACTTACTAGCATACAAGACTCTGTGATCTGGCATCTAGCTACCTCTCCAGCCCCTCTGTAATCACTCCGCTCTCAACCCTCTCAAGCCCTGAAATTAACTTATTTTTCAATGCTTTATCAGCCGCTAAGATCCCACTAGTTATTTTATATCTCTGTGTTTTTGTATCTGTTTGGAGGGGCCACTGTCTGCATGGCAAACTCTTCAACTTGAGCTCCGATATTATCTCCTCTGAAGGCCTCCTCAACATCCCCCAGCACCATCACCAGAGCTGTGGAAGAAGTTGTAAGGACACAGGCAGGGGGCTCTAACTGAAAAGCCTGAGTCAAAATGACTCAAAATTGTGGAAACTTTTATTACAAGAATATTGGTGCTCTGTCAAACACATAAATGGCTAAATTCGAAGTGGGACTGGTAAGAAAAATTAAAGTGACCCCTTGATGCGTTCTCTTTTTGTTGGTGCAAGGGGAGTAAGAAACAGTTTATTTCATAACCAAAGAAATATATGTATGATAATTTGGAAGAGTTTTTGCCCGAATTGTTGTAATATTTTCTATTTTTAAACTTTTAATTATGAAACATTTCAAACACACTAGCAGGCAAAAAATTATACATATAACAAACACCTGTGTACCTATCACTAGGATTAAGCAGATGTTAACATTTTGCCTTGTTTCAGATTTTTGTTTTCTTTAGAAGAGAATTAAGTTATAGGTATAGTTAAAGCCTTACCCTTCAGTCCTTTCTGTCCCTTTTCTTCAGGTAACCACTGACGAAGGGGTTTTGTTAGCTAATTCTATGGAAAGTATTTTATATTCAGGGAGCCAAAGGTAAATTTCTGTCGGTAGTGTAAAAAGGCATAGTCAACAGGAGAAAGAAAATGAATTCTGTATTACAGCATAAACCAGTTCTCCATTGTGTACAGTCATGCACCGTGCAAGAATGTTTCAGTCAATGACAGACCCCGTATACAACATACATTCAAGGCTAGGAAAAGTGGTGCCTTTCAAAGCAAAGTAGGAAAATGGAGTATAGGAAGTGTACTTGTTTTCTGCTGCTGAGTAACAAGTTTCCTCAAAATTGGGTGAAAACATTTATTATCTCATGTAATTTCTAAGGGTCAGGAATTCAAGGGTGGAGTAGCAGGGTGTTACAGGATGTTTCGTAAGATTGCAGTCAAAATGTTAGCCAAGGCTGTGGTCATCTGAAGGCTTGACTGAGGCTGAAGAATCTACTTTCAAAAAGGCTCACATGGCCTTTGGCTGGAGGCCTCAGTTTCTTGCCAGGTGGACGTCTCCATAGGGCTGCTTATGACAGGCAGCTAACTTCCCCCAGAGAAAAATCACTCCTGAGAGAGAGCAAGGAGGAAACCTCAGTGCCTTTTATGATCTAGTTTCATTGCCCACTGTCACTTCTGCTTTGTTTATATTCCGCAGGCAAATCACTAACTCCAGCCCACACTCAAGTGGAAGGAAATTAGGTTCCACACCTTGAAATGAGAAGTACCAAAGAATTTGTGGGCATAGTTTAAAATTGTCACAGGGAAGGAAAAGAAACACCTTTTAAATTTGACCAGATTCTGTTAAGCGTAGGCAGTGAAGACAAAATGTGGGATATTTAATATGAGAATTGCCACCATACAAATTGCAAAGAACAAAATCACTTAGAAACTGAACTTTTGGATTCAAAAAGATCAAAGAACTCTGAGAAATAAAATCACATTAAGTAAATTAAACTTTAACTGGACTTAATGTTTATATGAAGCAGTTAAATAATAAATGGATTCATGTAATAAATACTACTGTAGTATTAATAAAATATTTTCATGTTAATGGAACTTTAATATGATTGCTATAGATTTCCAACTGATACCATACAGCGCTCAAAATGGATCAGGGCTGTTAATCGTGTGGACCCCAGAAGCAAAAAGATTTGGATCCCAGGACCAGGTGCTATACTATGTTCCAAACATTTTCAAGAAAGTGACTTTGAGTCATATGGCATAAGAAGAAAGCTGAAAAAAGGAGCTGTGCCTTCTGTTTCTCTATACAAGGTACTTAAATCCAGGTGTAAACAAAACTAAATTTTACCAAGCCTTTAAAAATCAAGATAGCTCACATGGCTAGAATTTACAGAGATTTAAAAAAAAGAACAACAACCTTAGGACTAAAATAAATCCAATAATAGATTTTAAATGCTTAGAAAATTAGTTTTTGTCTTTTTAAAATCTATATGTAATAATAGTAATTCTGCCTTGGAGCTTTTTTAAAAATAAGGGTATAAATGCAAATCATGTCTAGACATAAATAAAGGTTACTAAACTGATCACAAAAATCAACTAGTGGATGTAAACAGCCTTAGAATTCAGATTTTTGTTTAAGTATGAGACAGTTTTCATAATATGTAGTTAGAAATTATCAACCCCTTTTTGGCTCTTCCCAACAATGTTACTGATCTTTGACCAAAAATGTACCTAATCATTAGCATTGATGTAGAAAGACATATATACAGAAAATAGAAAATTTTCTGTGAGTCAGTCACCAGTATTGGTGTTACAGTCTTATGTTTCTTTTGATTGTTTTTATTTTATCCTTTTCCGCCTTAGCCACACTCTTGTACATGGCTAATCGCTGTCTGCGCAGTCTGCGATAGGCGTCTAACTGTTCTATGCTGACACTACCCTTCCTCACTCATTGGAGTCTCCCTCTCTTGGTATTGTTTTATCTCATCCCTTTATTGAGAAGAATATGTTAGTGTCAAATCCAAATTCATGAATTCCAAGAGCTTTCCGTTAATTGATTTGTGCATTTCTAACTGCTCTGAATTCTCTTTTTGAACCACATATACTTAAAACCACTGTTTATGTGATAAATTGACTTGCTCTCATGTTTTTGTGTAAAATCAATAATAGTTATTGTTTATTGAGGCCTACAATGGTCCTGGCATTGTAGTAGGGAATTTACATAAATTAGCTTATTGTATCCTCAAAATAACTCTGTATTATTATCCACATTTTACAAATGAGGAGATGACGGATTGTAGAGGTTAAGTGACAGCTAACAAGTGAGGGAGCCGGGATTCGAACCCTGGTCAGTCTTAATTCCAAAGCCCATGCTCTGTCCACTATGCCTTCCTTTTTGCATGAATAACTTCCCTGTCCCCTCCATTAAACCACGTTGCTGCTGTTTCAAAGAACTACTCAAAACTCACTTCCATAAAGCCTTCGCCAATTACCACCTTTCTCTAGTTAATTTCAGAAATTTTTAGCATCATGTTACGATTTCTGTAGAGATGCAAAAAAAATCCTGTTTACATTGTCTTGTGGACTATACATTTGAAAAAGCTCAAAGATTATGACCTTTTTTTTTTATAACTAACTCTCCACATCAACCAGGTGAGTGCTTTGCTTTCAGTGGTATTTTTATAGATAAGCTTCTGTGTGATAATTTCTAAAATAACCCTAGTTTTATATTTCTATCATAGGTTCTTCAAGGGGTACACCTTAAAGGTAAAGCAAGACAGAAAATCCTAAAACAGCCACTTCCTGATAATTCTCAAGAGGTTGCTACTGAGGACCACAACTACAGTTTAAAGAGGCCTTTGACAGTGGGTGCAGAGAAACTGGCTGAGGTGCAACAGATGCTACAGATGTCCAAAAAAAGACTTGTTTCTGTAAAAAACTACAGGATGATCAAGAAGAGAAAGGGCTTACGATTAATTGATGCCCTTGTAGAAGAGAAACTACTTTCTGAAGAAACAGAATGTCTGCTACGAGCACAGTTTTCAGGTTTGTTCCCCAATGACCTGTAATAGTTACAAAATAGCTCAATTTTTCTGAATATTTCTAAGTATTTACTCTGCTATTGCCTATGAAAATGTGCTTTTAGCTGACAAGTGAAAAGTCTCAGTGTCAGCAAGAAGAATGAAAAGTAATTGCCAAAATCCTTTTATGATTTTATAATTTTAAAAGTAATATATTCATTATAGAAAAAGCAAAGAAATATATAAATGATGAAAATAACACACAATCCTACTACCCAGAGATAAGATCATGTGGTATATACCATGTACTGTACTTTTTGTTTTTTATAATAGCACCCATTTTACTGCAAATTCTTGATAAACAATTGTAACTGCTACATAATTGATCACTAAAGTCTTTTCGCAGTGGAGTTGAATTAGATAATTTGCAAAATCCCTTTGAGCTTGAAAATTGGGTCTCCAAATCTTTTTCTAAAATATTCTATAGAGTATATATATATATTTCATTGAAAGACTACTTAGTCTTCCTTGTGAACCAGGATATTTGAAAAGGGGCAAAATAAGAATTGCCAACTTACTCTTTGATGAAAGGAGCAGAGATTTTGGATTTACATTCTGGTGAAAAGAATTAGGTCCTGTTTCTAGAAAAGAGTAGGTATCTCCAAAGGAGAAGAATATTTTGTTTTTCCACGACGGGCATAGAGGTGGTAAATAGGAGTCCCCACCAGGAACAGAGGATATTTTTTTCTCTCAATGGTAGGCAGTCTGTTCAATCTGAATAACACCCTATTCCCAGAAATGTTGCTTGTGTCTAATTGTCATCCTCAGATAAATGGTAACCAGGGAACAAAATAAAACAAATGAATGTCCTCATAATCCAGAGACTTAATTTTGTCCAGTTATTTCATTTTCTTTCCTATGTCTCTAAAAATCTCCACTCAGGCTGCCAGTAAATAGTGGTTCAAGTAGAAACTTTCTTCTTCCCTCTTTCTGATGAAATGATTCAAGGTGAACAAGATAAATTGGTCAAGAGGCCCTAAGATTGGATATTGACCTCTGAGCAAACTCAGTTAAAATGTGATTGTATTTATATTTGAATTTTGATGCCCAGTGAATTTTATATCCGAATGCTATAATCTGTACCTGAAAATATTACTGTACACATTCTTCATCACAGAGAATAAATAAATTTGTTTTCACAGATTTTAAGTGGGAGTTGTATAACTGGAGAGAAACAGCTGAGTACTCCACAGAAATGAAACAATTTGCGTGTACACTCTACTTGTGCAGTAGCAAAGTCTATGATTATGTAAGGAAGATTCTTAAGCTCCCTCATTCTTCCATCCTCAGAACGTAAGTGAGTTACTTTTTAGATGTTAAATAAAACAAATATTTTGTTCTTTTATTGCATTTTATACATTAAGGCCATTAGTATTCATCTTATTTAATTGTCCATTTTCTCTTTTTTAAAAACTTCTACCTTGTATTTGCATATTATCACAACAGTGATATTTTCACCAAAAAAAATGAAGATGTATAGTCTGATAAATTTTTTTCATCTTCTAGATGGTGGAGACACTCTGGATGATGAAATTAAAATCTTGAAATATTTGAATTTCTAGTACACTTCATTAGTTTTAGTATCTGACTATCCTAGAAAATCTAGAAGAGTTATAGATTGATACCATTGGGTTGAGGCAAAGCACAAAAATCTGCGTTTTCCGGAAGCACTGTAGTTGATGCCAATGCAGGTTGTTCAGGGACCAGTTTTCTTTTTCACTTATTTTGTTGAGGTCATAATGGTTTATAACATGTACTTTCAGGCAAATATTATTTATCAGTTTCTGTATAGACTGCATTGTGCTGTCTACCAATAGTGTAATTTTTATCCATCGCCATTTATATGTGACCCTTTCACCCACTGCCTAACCCCTTCCCCTCTTTAACCACTAATCTCTTCTCTTTATCCATGTGTCTGTTTATCTTCCACATATGAGTGAAATCATGCAGTGTTTGTCTTTCTCTGTCTGGCTTATTTCACTTAACATAATACCCTTAAGGGCCATCCATGTTATTGCAAGTGGGACGATTTTGTCTTTTTTTATGGCCGAGTAGTATTTCATTGTACATATATACACACATCACATCTTCTTTATCCAATCATCAGTCAGTGGGCACTTGGGTTGCTTCCACGTCTTAGCTATTGTGAATAGTGCTGCAGTGAACATAGGGGTGCGTAAGTCTCTTTGAATTGTTGATTTCGAGTTCTTTGGATAAATACCCAGTAGTGGGATAGCTGAATCATGTCATATTTCTATTTTTAATTTTTTGAGAAATTTCCATACTGTTTTCCATAATGGCTGCACCAGTTTGCAATCCCTCCAGCAGTGCATAAAGCTTTCCTTTTCTCTACATCCTCTCCAACATTTGTTGTTTTTTGTCTTGGTAATTATAGCCATTCTGATGGATGTAAGATGTTATCTTATTGTAGCTTTGATTTGCATTTCCCAGATAATTAGTGATGTTGAACATCTTTTCATGTGCCTATTGGCCATCTGTATATCTTCTTTGGAGAAATGGCAGTTCATATCCTCTACCCATTTTTTGATCAGGTTGTTTGTTTTGTTCTTGTTGAGATGCATGAGTTCTTTATATATTTTGGAGATTAACACCTTCTCGGATATGTGGTATGCAAATATTTTCTCCCAGTTGGTTGTATTTTCGTTTTGTTCATGGTTTCCTTTGCCTTGCAGAAGCTCTTTAGTCTGATGTAGTCTCATTTGTTTATTTTTTCTTTTGTTTCCCATGCCTGAGTAAAGATGGTATTTGAAAAGATGCTTGCAAGACTCATGTCAAAGAGTGTACTGCCTATATTTTCTTCTAAGACTTTTATGGTTTCAGGTCTTACCTTCAAGTCTTTAATTCATTTTGAGTTAATTTTTGTGTATGGTGTAAGATAACGGTCTACTTTCATTCTTTGGCATATGACTGTCCAGTTTTCCCAACACCATTTATTGAAAAGACTTTCCTTTTTACATCATGTGTTCTTAGCTCCTTTGGCGAAGATTAGCAATTTGTACATTTGTGGTTTTATTTCTTGCTTTCAATTCTGTTCCATTGATCTGTGTGCCTGTTTTTGTGTGAGTACCATTCTGTTTTGATTACTATAGCTTTGTAGTATATTTTGAAGTCAAGGATTGTGATGGCTCCAGCTTTGTTCTTTTTTCTCAGGAGTGCGTTAGCTATTTAGGGTCTTTTGTTGTTTCGTATAAATTTTAGGCTTCTTTGTTCTATTTCCATGAAGAATGTCATTGAGATTGGGATTGCTTTGAATCTGGAGATTGCTTTGGGTAGTATAGACATTTTAACTATGTTTATTCTTCCAATCCGTGAGGATGGAATATCTTTCCATTTCTTTATGTCATTTTTGATTTCTTTCAACAATGTTTTATAGTTTTCATTGTATAGGTCTTTCACCTCCTTGGTTAAATTTATTCCTAGATATTTTATTCTTTCTGTTGCGAGTCTAAATGGGATTGTATTCTTGAGTTCTCTTTCTGTTAGTTCAAAATGAGAGAACAGAAATGCAACTGTACTTTGTATGTTTATTTTGTACCCTGCAACTTTGCTGTAGTTGTTGGTTATTTCTAATAGTTTTCCAATGGATTTTTTAGGGTTTTCTATGTATAGGATCGTGTCATCTGCAAACAGCAAGTTTTACTTCTTCCTTTCCAATTTGGATACCTTTTATTTCTTTTTCTTGCCTAATTACTCTGGCCAAAACCTCCAGTACTATGTTGAATAGGAGTGGTGAGAGTGGGCACCCTTGTCTTATTCCTTTTCTCAGAGGGATGGCTCTCAGTTTTTCACTGTTGAATATGATGTTGGCTTTGGATTTGTCATATATGGCCTTTATTATGTTGAAGTACTTTCCTTCTATACCCATTTTATTGAGAGTTTTTATCATAAATGGATTTGGATCTTGTCAAATGCTTTCTCTGCATCTATCCAGATGATTACGTGATTTTTATTCTTCATTTTGTTAGTGTAGTGTAACACATTGATTGATTTGCAGATGTTGAACCAACCCTGCCTCCCTGATATAATTCCCACTTGGTCATAGTGTATGATCCTTTTAATGTGTTGCTGTATTTGGTTTGCCAATATTTTGTTGAGCATTTTTGCCTCTATGCTCATCAGCAATATTGGCCTATAATTTTCCTTCTTCCTGGTGTCCTTGTCTGGTTTTGGCATCAGAATGACATTGGCCTCATAGAATGAGTTAGAAAGCGTTCTGTCTTCTTCAATGTTTTGGAATAGTTTGAGAAGGATAGGTAGGTATTAAATCTTCTTTGAATGTGTAGTAGAATTCTCCAGAGAAGCCATCTGGTCCTGGACTTTTCTTTTGGGGATGTTTTTGCTTACTCTTTCAGTCTCTTGTGATTGATCTATTCAGGTTCTCTATTTCTTTTTGATTCACTTTTGGGAGGATGTATGAGTCTGAGAATTGATCTATTTCTTCTAGGTTATCCAATTTGTTGGAATATAGTTTTTCATAGTATTCTCTTATAATCCTGACTATTTTTGTGCTATCCATTGTAATTTCTCCTCTTTTATTATTTGAGCCTTATCTCTTTTTTCCTCAGTGAGTCTAGCTAAGAGTTTGTCAATTTTGTTTATCTTCTCAAAGAACCAGCTCTTGGTTTCGTTGATCCTTTCTACTGTTCTTTTGGTCTGTATTTCATTTATTTATGCTCTAATTTTTATTATTTCCCTCCTTCTGCTGACTTTGGGCTTTGTTTGTTCTTCTTTTTTCTAATTCTGTTAGGTGTAGTTTAATATTACTTATTTGAGATTTTTCTTGTTTGTTGAGGTAGGCCTGTATTGATCTATTTCTATTGAGTTTATTGATGAATTTCTCTCTTAGAACCACTTTTGCTGCATCCTGTAAGAGGTAGTATGGCGTATTTACATTTTCATTTATCCCCAGATTTTTTTTTTAAAGATTTTATTTTTCCTTTTTCTCCCCAAAGCCCCCCAGTACATAGTTGTATATTTTTAGTTATGGGTCCTTCTAGTCGTGGCATGTGGGATGCCACCTCAGCATGACTTGATGAGCAGTGCCATGTCCACGCCCAGGATCTGAACTGGTGAAGCCCTGGGCCGCCAAAACAGAGTGTGTGAACCTTACTACTTGGTCACAGGGCCAGCCCCACAGTTTTTTGTTTTGTTTTGTTTTGTTTTGTTTTGAGGAAGATTGGCCCTCAGCTAACATATGTTACCAATCTTCCTCTTTTTTTTGAGAAAGAATGTCCCTGAGCTAATATCTCTGCCAGTTCCTCTATTTTTGTATGTAGGATGCCACCACAGCATGGCTTGAGGAGCAGTGTGTAGGTTCGCACCCAGGATCTGAACCCATGAACCCTGGGCCGCCGAAGTAGAGTGCACAAACTTAACCACTACACCACCAATCTGGCCCTTTGAGATATTTTTTTATTTCTCCTTTGATTTCTTCAGTAATCCAGTGGTTGTTTACTCTCCACATATTTGTGACTTTTCTAGCTTTTTTCTTGTAGTTGATTTCTAGTTTCATAACATTGTGCTCACAAAAGCTGCTTGATACAATTGCAATCTTCTTAAATTTATTGAGGCTTGCCTTGTTTCCCAGCATATGGTCTATCCTTGAGAATGTTCCATGTGCACTTGAAAAGAAAGCATATTCTGCTCTTTTTAGATGGAGTGTTCTATACATATCTGTTAAGTCCATCTGGTCTTGTTTTTCATTTAAGTCCACTATTTCCATATTGATTTTCTGTCTGGGTGATCTGTCCATTAATGTAAGTGGGGTGTTGAGGTCCTCCACGATTATTCTGTTGCTGTTAATTTCTCCTTTTAGGTCTGTTAATAATTGTTTTATATACTTTGGTGCTCCTGTGTTAGGTGCATATATTTTCTTTTCTTTTTTTTTTTTTGAGGAAGATTAGCCCTGAGCTAACTACTGCCAGTCCTCCTCTTTTTGCCGAGGAAGACTGGCCCTGAGCTGACATCCGTGCCCATCTTCCTCTACTTTATATGTGGGACACCTACCATAGCATGGCGTGCCAAGTGGTGCCATGTCTGCACCCAGGATCTGAACCGGCGAACCCCAGGCTGCCGAGAAGCAGAACATGCGCACTTAACTGCTGTGCCACCGGGCCAGCCCCTAGGTGCATATATTTTCATAAGTGTTATGTCCCTTAGTGGAATGTCCCTTTTATCATTATGTACTTCCCCTCTTTGTGTCTCATTGCCTTTTTTGTCTGCGCTAAGTCTGGCAACACCTGCTTTCTTTTGTTTGCCATTAGCTTGGAGTA